ATTAAACCAAACGAATCCTTTAAAAAAAACGAAAACAAGCAAAAAACCATAGTGACATATACTGTATCTCTTAATCTGCATTACAGGTTATTGAGTTTGTAATCAACAACAAGAGAATGGATATTCTAGAGAAGGAGCTTGAAAACATTGGTGTCCCATTTAAGTTTTTCCAAGTACAGTGTGAGGATGGGTCATCTTAAACACAGTGGACTAGACTGGATGGTAGGAATGCTCATTACTAAGTTATCAGTTTTCTATATACACAAAGAAAGTTGAAGTTAACTTCGAGATTTTCATGTATTAGAGTTATTTGCATTACTTTACGTATCACAGTGCAACGGCAAGCCATAACGAATACTGATAACAATGAAGATATTAACAATAACAACATTATATTATCTCAGGTAAAGACCTCCGAGCAATCCTACACAAACTGGATCATCAACCAATCTTTGAGGGGACAAGTCATCAAAGAATGACTTATAGAGATGTGAAGAAATTATGGAAGGTAAACATTTTCTTGTGTTCATTTGGTCACTCTGATCATTGAGTTGAAATTAAGACAATATCTAAGGGGTGTGACTACAATAAATCATATCAAAATAAACTCATCTACATACTTGCTATCTTTATTGATAAAATAGGGTTTCAGTAATCTGGTGGTAGCACTGGACTCAGAACCAGGCCAAGAACACTACAAAACACCAGAACAGTTCAAGGACCATGCAAGGAAATGGGCGAGACTCTTTCGAATGGTACACCATGATGAGGTAACTGCATTCTTTGCAAGTATTACTTTGTTGAGATAAAATATAATCGTAGACTTGAAATTCTTGGCAATATAATTCAACATTGATCTTTACTCAGCATAGACAATTGAACAAAACCCAGCCAATAATTAATCTGTGATATAACTGAAGCCGCTAAATTGAATACAAGGTACTTACTATCATATATTTTTCTCCAAATTTTTCCTTTTAGGATGTGACTCCATACATACATGGTAAGATCCATTTCTCTGTTAAGATGATAATTTCAATGATTTCCAATCCTAACAGTAATTATAAAAGAACTTATGAAACCCTATATTTGAAATATGAAAAATATATTTTGTTTTGCTCCAGCTCTAGTCTATCATGTCCCTCAGTTCCTCCAGAAATGTGGAGGGCTTTCTATTTTCAATTGACAGCCAGTGGAAAAGAAAAACCACCAACAATCAAGAATGTTCCACCAGGGAACACAGAAGGGAGGACGGAAGTCCAGCTACACAAAGCAAGTTATGGAAAAAGAAACCATCGTTTCGTTCACCGTCTGTCATTTTTCTCGGAAATTTGGCTGTTTCAGATCTTCTTGTGGGATTGGTGGTACAACCAGTTTATATAGCTTCTCAAGTAACAAGAAACACTTTCCTAAACCAAGCAGTAGGGGCAATGGGACTTGTTGGATGCGGTGTTTCTCTCTCGACAATGACAGCCATAACACTGGATCGTTTCTTACTTCACTGTCACCTGCAGTACCCAAATTTAATGACGACAAGCCGGGCAACATATTCTTTAATAACTATCTGGTGTAAAAATACATTATTCTCTTTTTCCATTTTTTTTCCAAGTAGAGATATTTTCCGTTTTCTTGCAGCTTTTTGGGTCACAATTTGCCTTTTAGTTTGTTTGGTTTGTTTCATCAAAACTTACCGAATTATTCGTCGGCATCAGTTGCAAATTCACATTCAACAGCAAGCAGTGGAAAATTCAACTGATACGAATAGCCAGCACATCCGACAATCAACAAGGGGTGCAAAAAGTATTTTCATATATTTCCTCGCGATGATTTTATTCTACTCTCCATTGTTTGTTGTTTTCTTATATTCAGGTACTACTAAAGCAGATTCAAGAATTCTATGGACCTTTCCAGTCACTTTGACTTTCATGAACTCGTCTATTAATCCATTTTTATATTGCTGGCGTTTTCCCGAGCTCCGAACTGCAGTTTTGAAAACAGCAAAGCTTTTATCTTGTCGAGAAACGGAAGAAAGTGCTCCAACCTAAGTTATAAGTTATTGCACAAAACCTAAAGGTGCCGTAGAAACAAAGTTCTCTAATCGCTGTGACCCTTACAACTATGGCATCGTGAGGCATTTCAATTCGTATCCGCAAGCTTTATCAGCTTTCAAGTGATCCTTTGGAATGATTTTAGCCGAACATCTGTGCATTACCGACAAAGAAAGAAGGACGAGAAATGTGGTGCTCTACAATTCCCTTAGACAATGAAGGACAACATGGATTATGGAACGGGGAAAGTAACAAATGAATTTTCTGCTTTGTAATGATATGAAGGTGTAACGATTTTTAACACTTTTAGCCTAGATGTTGTGAGAGGACAATTTTTCTAACATTATATATTATACATAGATATGACACTAGTAACGCCTACATCAGATCACTTAATGAGATCTGATAAAACAAAATCAGTTAACAGGAACTAAGCCTTAAAACATCCAGTTAATATGTGACCAATCAGTTTCTTTAAGAAAATTCTTCCCGTGAAAATTGCAGTTTACTGTTCTGGAGAATAACAAGAAACCCGCGCTGCTCATCGTCGCAGCTGGCTAACACGTTATTCATCATGTCTAATTTACAAACATTTCAAACAAACACTAAAAAGATATTGACAATACAAGATTGATATTCATTCGCCAACTCAGTCCGTCAACTGCTCCTCATCGTATTTCTGTTCTTTTGAGCATAATCTCTTTCTTTCCTCGAACTCCAATCGTTTTTTCTGTCGCCTAACCATGTTGACGACAACCTGACTTACAGTTGAGAAAGAGTCCTCCGCTTGTTAATGAATGCATAGTAATTAAGCCAAAGCTAATTTGGCCAGATGCTATAAAAAAAAAAAATGTTCAATTTTCATTTTAGGACTCCATCAACTCGTTTGCCAGCCATGCTTTATATCAGCAATATAACCCAGTCGGACCTTGTTGCAGTGTTTGCCCAAATAACAGATTCGCCGATCTCTACTCTACATAATTGGCCATCAGTTATCTGTTGCTTTAGCTCGAAAGTTTTATTTTCAATATGCCTGTCAATTTCTCGTGAATATGCATGGTCAAGCTTTTCACCATCTAACATTATTATGTCTGGTAACAACAAAATACTTCTTAGAAGAATGAACTTTACCAAATTGTAAAAAAAAAAATTTCCTTTAAATTCATGTAAATTACCCCTACCGACCTCGAAAGCATAAAAAGAATAATAATCATGCCCGCTATTGTGAAAGACCATTATTAGATTAAGAGCTTTTAATTATGACAGCTTTTACAACTGTACTTTGGAAGTGCCAGAGGGAACGCCATATTGAAATACCGTACAATTGAAAATACAGCCAATCAGAATTCCGGAAATCGGTCTTGGATATCGTCCAATCACAGTATAGTACAAAGCATCTGTTAGATAGTCATTAACTCTGCCTAGATCATGTGCACTCTTTTCTTATTCCGTAGATCACTTTTAGTTCTCTTTCAACCTGAGAACTCGACTTTGTCATTTACCCATCCTTTGCCACTCGCGGGCTGTACCAAGGAAAAATGGCCTCGGACTTACCTCCCCCTTGATGGGGCTTTGCTTGTTCCGGCAAACGATAAAGATTTTTAATTTTGAACATGTATATGTATGATTGTCGTTTCTTAAAGCCTAGGATGATTTATTTTCGATGGAATTGTGCATACCATTCCCATCTTGCGGTGCAATCTTATTCTCGCCGAGATTTAGCAAGTATCGCCGTTTCCAGTTTATTTCAACACAGTTGGCCTTACTATGGGATTCGATATCGAAGCTATCAGGTCGAATTACCAGAACCGACTCCCTGCAATCGAACAAAAGTAACATCCTCCTATTGACCCCTTGGGAGAGTCATTTATTTGATCAGGTGCGGTCGTAAAGCAATCCCGTGGTTATGTAAGGCCGTTTGTGGTCAGGCTAACGACAAAGTGAATTAGGCTAGGATGGTTGACAAAACGGAGCGCCTCTTAGGTCGACGCAGAGGAATCTGGAAACTTTTTTCTGCTCGAATGAGTAGGTATTTGCTATTCGCTCCGGCTGATGGCAATTTGAGGAAAATCAGTCAACTTTGAGGAATACATTGCAAAACTCCCAGTACAAAGAAATTCAATAAAATAGCATTGAAAACGTCAGGATGAGGCAAAGCAGCTATGGAATAAAGGCAAGGAGGTTCGTCATCACAGCGAAACTGACCAATAATTTCATCCGAACTGGACTTAGAACATTCGACTGACAACAACTATTCACTTGACTCTGAAGATGACTTCCGCTCAGGTTGTCGAAACGTCAGTCACTACTACCGACAACAGTCCTTGTCAGGACTACACTCACCCGGACGATCACACTACATCGTCACATGTCACCCCCGGATTCAAACCACTTACTGTATTTTTGCATTTTACGAGTTACTTTGATAAGACAACAACACTTCGTGTTTTTTTGATAAATGAAATATCTGTTAGGAGACAGTTCTCTCAACGACATCTTCGTGGAACACTCAAACCTCAGACTCCAGAACTAC